TGTGTGTGTGTGTGTGTGTGTGTGTGTGTGTGTGTGTGTGTGTGTGTTGGGAGGTGGGGGACAGCTCTGCAATAGGTCTCACATGCTACCCATGACATCTTAGCCTTTGGGATGGCAGTCACTCATGATCTGATAAGAATATATTTTATGGATTTTGTTAAATTCAGAGGATGTTAGGTCAGACACTGGATGTGGTCCATAAATGACTTTTAAATGGACTACAAATAGACAAAGATGGCTCTGGGTTGTACTGCTCTAACTACATAATCTGGAAGTTCTAGTCAGTCATTCCCGCATGGTAGAATCCTCAACACAGATGCGTTTGGGGTTTTGAGTTTGGGGGTAACTTGACCTTACAGACTTCTTACACGTTCTTCAGACCCTTTGAGAACTCAGCCTGTCCATTTAACAAGGCTAGAATGCCAGCCCACACCTCTATAATCCATTAATTTTAGCTTAGCTATTTCAAAATACTACTCCCAGAGGCTTCGAGTCAGACAGTTGACGGGGCCGTAGCTTCGAGTGTTGTCATCTACTGTCAGCATGACAGGGACTCTGCAACAGCACGTGGAGGCATTTCTCACTGTAGAGCTCTTTCCTGATCTTGCCACTAACCATCTAACTCACTTTCCCTCTACTGTCCTCTAACACTCTCCTTGCGGTTCGCTCCCTCTCACCCGCCTTCTGTCAGAAGAAAGCATACTTAAACCGATTGAGAAACTGTCATGCACCGAAAAGTCTCCTGAGAAGCGAGAGGACCCACAAGGTACTGTCTGGCTGCTCTAAATTGGTCAGGTGCTTGGCCCCTGGCTCTCTTCTCAACCTCAACCCCAGTCCTGTCGCTAAGGCCAGGATGGGCTGCTTCCAAGTCAGGTCAGGGCTGGCAGGAGGAGCAGCTTTCCATACTGTCTGGAATGCCTTTCTCCCTCCCCTCCTTTCAAAGTGTTCTATGCCTGTCTTCCTAACCAGGCCATAAATTAGCTATGGCAACTTCTAGAAATCAATATATATATATATATATATATATATATATATATATATATATATATATATATATTCTATTGAAAGTAAAGAATAGTCTCTTGCTTTGCAATCAATATTTTTACGATTTTGAAAAAAATAGTCTGATGCTCATTTCTTACACATTCACAGTCATTGAAAAGAAAGCCATTATTAATGACTGTGGTTTATTTCCTGGGGATTGATGTTAGTGCTTTACAACCAAAGCCAGCAACCAACTTCTAGCCGAAAACTGCACAAACAAGCTCTTTAAGCCAAAACAATTTGGTTTTATTGCCAGTTCCTTTTATTCTAAGTACAGTCTTTTAGCAATAGGAAAGCATTGTTTATATAGCTGCCTAGTGAATGGCCTCTGATATCTGCCATGTTCCCATTTTGCTACTATTCTTATTTTCAGTTAGCTGTTAAAGCCAGTTTCTCCATCTATTGGACGGAAGAGATAATATTTACTTAGCTATAATTTCATAGCTATGCCTGTCAGCCAGTAGTTACTGCATTCGCCCTGGTGAAGAGAAGGTGAACACCGATACACTCTGAAGTGGCTACTGGGTGGGGTCATGGCTTTGAGCTTCTTCCCAAGACTTTTGAGGCTGGGGCCATAGCTCAGCTTATCTAGTGTACATGAAGCTCCAGGTTCAAGTCCCAGCACTGCATAAGCTCGGCGTGGTGGCACACAGCTGTAATCCCAGCACACAGGACAGTAGAAGCGGGAGGATCAGAAGTTCAAGGTCATCCTCAGCTAAATAGTTTCAGAAGTAGCAGGATGGATTAGTGACCCGTGGTGAATACTGGGGGTGAGAGGGCCAGTCAGTGAGACCGCTGTACTTGCATGAATCCATCAGGGTTATAACTTACACAGACGTAACAGTCACAGGCTTTCACATCCTCCCGGCTGTGATGAGGAAAACTGCTTGACCTTTGTTGCTCTGAGAGGAAGCATTTGTGCCCAGCTCCAAGAAAGAGGAGGCACCCGTGGAAAGTCCACTTCCCCCTCACTGTCTGCTGACTAGTCACCCATGAATAGTGAGGCTGGCTTACTGCTTGGGGTGAGCCCTTTCCCCACCTCTCTCCATCCCCCCCCCCATCCCTGTTCGCTGTGGCCTGTCACAGTCTGTCTCACATCACTGAAGCAGCTCTTGCTCTACCCTGCTGTGTCCTGCTGCTGCTCAGGCAGCCACGTCCCCAGGGCAGAGCCAAGCACGTCAGGTCTCTCTGATCCACTAACCATTCCTTTGGTGCACTTCTGTGCCCTCCTTTTTCACTATCTTCCTACTCACAGACTCTGTGCCTTCCTTTTTCAATGTTGATATTCCTTGTGGTCTGTTCCAGGGCCTATCCATGTTCCTAGGTCCTTCTGCACTGTCTCTGCAAGCCACAGCTGCAGGACCAGAAACTCTGAACATCACTCATCTCCAAGCCAACCAACTCCCTCATCCTGACCTGAGTATCTTCTGTACCTCCTTCCCCAAACCTGACTTTCTCCCATGCGGTCTAAAGCATGCCGCCCGGTCACCTAGGCTACAAACACAGAGGCTCTACCCCCTCTTCCACAAACCCATCTGTTCCCTTCTCCAGCCCTGTATGAGTGCGTGCTTCCAGCCCTAATCTCTCACTTCCAAAACAGCAGTGCCCTTATGACCGGGCTCCACCTTTAGGTTCACCCATCCACCCATCCTGTGCTGCCTTCAGACTGGTCTTTGCTAACAGTGATGATGGCGAAACTGACAATGACGAGCATCTTTTGACTGCCAGATTCTATGAAAGAGCTTCCTTACATATTCAGAGCCTAAATCCCTACGAATATGTTTGCTGATGGTAGCTAGACCAGTACAAAAAGGCACAGAGGACACACACACACACACACACGCACACACTAAGGACTGGTGTCATCAAAAATCAAAAAGACTAGTATGTTCAGGGCTCCGCTCCTGGCTCGGTTCTTTACTAACTGTGGGAACTTGGGTGAATCATTCACTGTCACAGAACCGCAGGGGTATAAAAATAGCGCTTCTGAGCGTCCAGGGGCTGAGTGAGCGTTCCTGTGAGCAGCGTAGCATCCAGCCTAGAATACAGTGGCTCGTAAAACAGCATTTCAAAGTAAGAGGGTAGCATTCAGAGTCACTGTACGGCACCTCAAAGGCCTCCTTCTGACCCAAACTCCCAATGCATCGGCAGGAAACCTTGGGAGCTACACATACGACCAGACAGGATCCATGCCTTCCTTTCTCAAGAAAGAAGTGGGATCGGCTGGCCAGAGGATCCACCTGGCACCTCTTGGTGCGGCGGCTTCAGGTAAGAACGGTCTCCCGGTACCATCTGAGATGTCTGACTTAGGGGAGGCTTCCCTTCTAGGCCCACGAGGTCTGTTTCCTTGAGGGAAGACTCTTTAGTGAGTCTCACACTACTCAGTCCCAAGTGCCCCCGCTCCCCCACACGCAATGGTTTCTGCCTGGTGCTTGGCTCCAGGACAGACCGCAAGGAACATTGAGAAAGGAAGGCACGGAGCCCAGTGAGGAGAGGTCAATGGTGAAAGTTGGGGGCACAGAAGTGCAGCAGAGGGAGCACCGCTATTGAGGCACAGAAGGCTGAGGCGCCCAGCACTGCCCTGGGGATGTGGCTTCCCAGCAGCAGCAGGACCTGGCAGGATACAGCAGCAGCCGCTTCACTGACAACATACAACACAGGCTGTGACAAAAATACACTTTGTGCATCCAAAGAGTCCAAGAACTTTCTAGGGTGAATGGTGTGGTTACCATCTGCCCCGTGCTCACACTTGCCTGTCTCCTCCTGTGGACGAGGAAACTGACACCTAGCATAGCAGTGTCACAGAACTGGTAGAGCCAGGGTAGACACACACTAGGCTGCTCCTCTGTGAGCCCACCTTACTCTACAGTGAGATGTGTGCAAATGTAGTCTTCAGAGCATGTGACTCTCCCCCCCCCCCCCCGTCCCCCCCGGTGCTCAGCCTAGAGCGAAATCGTAATAATCGAGGTTTGCTTGTGAGTTACCCTGAAGTGCTAGCTCGGTGGTTGGGATTCATGGCAGCTCTCCCACCTGGCTTTTGTTGAGAAGCAATGTAGGACGACAGGACAGTTGTTCTCCCCATCTCTGAGGTCACAGTTCACTGGGGTCAGCTTGTGCTCTAACAGCCCGAGACATGAAAACCGAGTGCAGATGCCTGCTCCTGAAATTCAAGGTGGCAAGCCAGGCATAGGGGTATTTATGGGAGGCTGAGGCAGGAGGATCTGAAGCCCTAGGCCTGCCCGGGGCTGTGTAGTAAGACAGAGAGAGACTAGATGTATTCCAAGCTTTCCAGATTTGATGATGAGCATTCTCTAAATTAAGTAATTTAAAAGAGATTTCTTTAGTTGAAGCACCTAAAACAAACAGGAAGGCAGATGATCAAAAGTTTGCTTTAGGAGTCCTTGTTATTTCTAAGTCCAAAATGCTCAACCCACTCACACACAGTCCAACCAGGATCCCACACTGAGATGCCAGGTTAGATTTGCCTGTCTTTTACAGGACAAACAACTGTGACAGCTGAAAAGGGAAAATGCAGGGGCAACAGGTCTCTTTCACCTCTTACCACAGTAGGCTGCTTGAATGGTACCTGTTTGCTCAGTCCTAAAAAAAAAAAAGATTGTTACAATGTATTTCTTCTATTTCTTCTAAAACAGCATATACCACTTGAGCAACCATATTATATACAACTGGATTTTAGGGGGCTGCAAAAGCTTTCGACCAGTCATTTATCATGACTAAGCATCCATTTTTAAATTTTTTTTAGTGATTTGTTTCTTTTTATTTTATATACATTAGTGTTCTGTCTGCTTGTATGTCTGTGTGGGGATGCCAGATCACCTGAAACTGGAGTTACTGTTAGTTGTTAGCTCCCATGTGGGTACTGGGAATTGAACCTTTAAAAGAACAGCCAGTGCTCTTAACCGCTGAGCCATCTCTCCAGCTAAACATCCATTTTTAATATAAGAAACAAAACATGATGTTTAGAAGTACTTTGCTATCTGGGTAGTCACTTTCAGAAACTGAGAGTGGGTCTTTTTATTTTTTTAAAAAATCTACTAAAGGCTTTTCTGTCTCAAATCTGTGAGATTAGCATGTATATTCCTGTTTTCACTTTTTAAGTAAATTGCTCTCATAAATCTTCATCTAGTTGTTTACTCTGCTTATCAGATTTCCCTCCGGGTAGTGATAGGAGGAGAGGCAAAAAAAAAAAAAAAAAAAAAAAAAAAAAAAAAGTAAACATTGCTTACTCTCAAGCGGTTCATGCAACCCATTAGGAAAACATTGCCTTCCATTGTCCCACAAGAAACACAACCAGGTTGCTACCATATTTAAATACTATTACAAAACAAGGAGACTATCCCCTCCTCTCTTAGGCTCCCTCTCTGCCCTAATGTCTTCACATGCTCCCATTTAACAGCTAATCCTTCCTCATCCCCTGCCTTGAAAGTAACCAGACCAGGGGTGTGGCTTATGTAAACAGCCACCCACAGAAGCCACAGGGCTTCACCTTAGATAGAGAGGGTAGCCAGTAGATCCAGGAAATGACTGCATCCAAGTTGAACTTGGTGAGTTTATTGGGGGTAACCCCATCACCTGGACTGGGCAGCATAAAGTGACCTGCCAGATCACTGACAGCATGTGCACTCCCCGCCCCCTAACCAAGGATACTCCATGGAACAGTCTGGATGCCAATCTGACCCAGGGCTTTGCCCGTATACCTGTCAGCACCTGTGGACTACAGGCCCATGTGGTTTCCTCCTTCACTCTCAACATCACAGTGAAGGCTGGGAAAGGCTGGGAAACCAGGCCAGCAAACATTGTACTGTGGAAGGTACAGAATGGCTGGGTGCCACTCAGCATTGATGCTGAGATTTCGCCAGGAGCATCAGTGCCTGTGCAGTGTGAAAAGATAGATAAAGCCCAGTGCAAAGACTGATCCCCTCCTCACATAGACTTCCTGTGAAACCTGGCCCTCAGGATGAAGTGAGGAGGACTGAAGAAGACGTTCTTGTTCCCTGGATAATGCCTTTGTCATTGAAGACCTTTAAGAAATGTCACCGTGTTCAGAATCAAATGTTTAACAGATTTTAGATCTCTCTTGAATCATAGATAATAACCCACTAACACTGGACTAGGCTGTCTCACAAATCTTTACACAAATACATGAAGAAAATAAACCTTGGGATGAGAGGTTTGGGCTCCTTTAGAAATTGCTGGTTGGAGCTGGAGAGGTGGCTCACTGGTTAATGGCACTTGTTGCCCTTGAAGATGGCCCCAGGTTCAGTCCCCATCACCCAAAGGGCTGCGCACAGCTGGGGTTCCAGGGATTCCAGCGCCCTCTTCTGAGCTCTTTGCGCATTGCACACGCATGGCACACATACATGCAGGCAAAAGCCTCATGCACATAAGACAAAAACAATCTTTTTTAACAGATTAGGGGTTGGTGTTTTCTCCAGTAAAAAGACGAAGCTTGTGACACAGGCTAAGGTCACTGATAGAGTGTTTGTCTAGGTGTCACAATACCTGGCTCCTGCTCTTGGTACTGAAAAAAGAATGGGAGGAAGGAAGGGGAAAGAAAAAAGAAGAGAAATGAAAAGAGGAAAACAAAGGGGTAGAACAGGACATCTTTAACCTCAGGATTTAGGAGGCAAATCTCTGGGAGTTCCAGGCCAGCCTGAGCTGTATAGTGGTATCTAAAAATACAAGTTTTTAAAGAAAAATAGAAGTTCTAGAAAGCATGTCTTCACTTGTAAAAGGGAGCTACAGAACTTCCTCTGTACAGCTCCGTGAAGCCAGAGTTCCACACAGTTCCAAGTATGTCTTTAGTACTCTGGTACTCATGCCATGTTTGAACATTATTCAGGATGTAACCAAGCTGTGAGATTAGTCACCACACAGCGCTGCTCAGCGACGAAGCGGACCACAAAACGCCTCCTGGCCATTTTACTCCCAGTTAGCTATCTAACTAAGAGCCACTGATTTGTCATCCGACAAGTCAGAAATGCTGGGTTTTGTGCTATGGAAAATTCTAGCAACTTCCCACATAACATTCCACTGGAGGTTCTGCTTCAGCCCCCACGATGGTGAACACCTGTAATCAGCCTGGGATGAGTAAAGACGAACTGACTCTGACTGAGGCCAGTCTGGGCTACATAGCCAAGGGCTTGGCGAACTTGCCTCAAAAAAAAAAAAAAGAAAAGACGCCATATCTGAACTAAGTATAATACACCTTCACATTTGCTCCACAGCTTTTAAAGATAAATCCAAACTTCCCTACAAAATGAAGATGAATTGCTTTATTTCAAATTTGATAACCAAATAAATGAAATTCTGGTGTCTTTCAGAATATACCTGGAACACAAAATCTGGCCGAGGCCAGTTTTCAGGACGAACTTACAATCCCACAGCAAAAAATCTCAATATTGTGAACCGCACACAGCCGGTCCCCTCTGTGCACGGGAGGACAGACTGGGTGGCTAAGTACGGAGGTCACCGGTAGGAAGCCCTGAAGCGTGGCTCCAAAGAGGACGGTCACGCCTGGGAGATGTCTACAGCGTCTTTTTCTACCGAATTGCACAAGAAACACCCAACCGTGGGTACCTCAAAGAGCAGACGTCAGCTCCCATTCCCTTTCTTTCCTGGAAACGCGATGCGACATTTCCAGGAAGCAGCGCGGATGCACCACCATGCTGAGACTTTTGAGTGGGACTTTACAGAGTATTGAATAAAGTATTTGCCAAAGTATGAAGTATTTGATCTACAAATTACTGCATAAGTACGTAGGCTTTTAGAGAGTGACTCCGGAGAGTGAGTGCACGGGGCCACACTCTCGCCTGTCTAAGCCACTGAGGTTCTGGTCCCTGCAGGGACCCACTGGCCCTAGCACTTTGCCTCCACCTCTCTTTTCCTGATGGTGAGGTAGGCCCCTGGGGCCGAGTTACGGGGCTGGCTTGATGCTCTCCCACCTCGGCAATGCTAACTACCTTCCAGTTTTCTCCATTTGAAACTATGAGATGAGTGACCCGGCACATCAGAGCGGGATTTTTCTTAGAGAGAAACTTTCCTCCAGCCCCTGGGAAGGTGTACACCAGTCCGCCTTCAGCACTGTTGCTGGATCTTGACCAAACTGCGAACTCACCATGACCGTCAGACCCTGTAGCCTGGTGAGTCCCGCACCAATCACACCCTCTCATCCTTAAGAATGTTCTTGAAAACCGTACTGGATGCTTGTTCATCTGACTCTCCCAACTCCTGTTTCTGTGTGTTTCTCCCAGAGACAGAGGTGAAGCGTGCCAGCTGGTCCCCAGGCAAACTCTTGCTGCTGCAGGTCACTGACAAGGCTCTGACCGTCATGTGACCTTCAGTCACAGGGTAAACGCACTCAGTTGCCATGGCAGAGTTCCGTGCAGTTCTTCTTAGTTTTGTTACTAAGTTGTTTTTGTTTTGTTTTGTTTTTAAAATAGATATTTTGAAGTTAGGACTACTTTAAACCTGCCATATGCTGGGCTGGGCATTAGTACTGTTTATTCTTTTGAAAGAATAATGTTATTGCCTACTGATATTTTTATGTCTTTATTTTGTAATAGATGCTGATATAACTGGCATCACTTTGTGGGCACTTCCCAGAGGCACATTATCAAATCATATATTTTTGTATAGAAGATACAGTTGTTCATATTTTACATGTTTAAAATGTTATACTTGAAATAGTAATTTATCCTAGTCCTGATGGTTATATGTATTTGTACAATTTTGTTGTCTCAAAGCTAATAAAAATGACTTGGTGTTTCTAAGAAACATGGCCTCTTGAATAGATTATATGGTTTAACTAGTGTGTTTTTCTCCATTATTAAACTTTATACTCTGTGGCCCATTTTGTTGCGGTTATTTTTCTTTCTTTCTTTTTTTTTTTTTTTTTTTACCCAGCATTCAATTTTTTTAATTTTATTACAACTTTTTTTTTTACAGTGTGTTTTTGTGGCTTTCCCTTTTCCCATCTCCTCTGCCCTTTGGCTGCTCTTCCCACCTCTTTCCCTGCCGTGTCCCATCGTCCTTCTGCCCACTGCCATCCTTCCTCATCAACTAACCCTCTCTTGGTCTCCTGTCTAGATCTGTAAACTTCAACAATCCCTATGCTTTTTTGCATGCACACACGTACAGGTCACAGGCTAGGAGCCACACTGGAGGAAGAGCATGCAGTTTACCCTGTGTTGGGCCACCTTGCTGGATACTATACTTTCTGGATCCATCCATTTTCCTGCAATTTTCATTGTTTTTTATAGCTGGATACTTTTCCATTTCATGTATGCAGCATATTCCCATTATCTTCTCATCTCCTGATGGATATCTAGGCTGGTTTCGTTTCTTTGCTGCCCTAAATATGACAGCAGTAAATGTGCGTGCACGTGTCTCTGGCAGCGGGAAGGTCCTTTGCAGAGGATGCTGTTTACTTTTTTTTTTTTTATGGCAGTTTCAGGTTCACAGAGAGCATAAATTCCCATAGCCCTTCATCCTCCAACTTTCTCTATTACCAGCATCTTGCAGTGCTGTAGTATCTCTCTCTTCCTCCCTCTTCTTCTTTCTCCTCCCCTGCTGGGGACGGAACCCAGGGCTTTACACATGCTAAGCAAGTGCTCCACCACTAAGCCACACTCCCAGCCCCCAGGAGCTATATTTAATGTCTAACTGTTCTATTTCTGGAATAACCCATAGCTGGAATCACAGAATGTTACTTTTTCAGACTGGCTACTTTTTTTTTTTATTTTATTTATTATTTATATAGTATTCTGCCTGCATTTGTGCCTGCAGACAAGGGGCACCAGATCTCATTATAGATGGTTATAAGTCACCATGTGGGTGCTGGGAAATGAACCCAGGTCCTTTGGAAGAACAGCCAGTGCTCTTAACCTCTGAGTCATCTCTCCAGCCCAGACCGGCTACTTAGACTCAGCACTGTGCATTTAAAGTCCCTACATGTGTTTCAGCTCCATCCCTTTTTTGTATTTATCTCTGAATCATATTCTGTTGTCACATACTAAAGGAAATCTTCATTAATTCCCTATTTGAGCAGGGAAATTGCAACCTCAAGTCCTGTCTGAGACATGAAACAAATTCAAAGCCAGCCTGGGCACTTAGCAAGACCCTACCTCAGAATCAGCAAAAGCGGGGGAGGGGACAGCTCAGTGATCAGGCACAGGCACAAAACTCTGGGCCCAACACCAGTGCCACAAAATGATAAAAAACAAAACAAACAACAAAAAAAAACCCAGTATCTTCTCTACCTTGTTTCTTTTCCTTTGCAAGACCAACATGGTCAGGGTGAATTTTGGCCCGTTCTGGAGGTACTGACCCACTGCTTTGCAACTCTGGGTTGGGGGGGTGAAGAGGGTACAATGGTAGAACATTTGCCTAACATGTGAGGCTGTGGGTTTGATGCTCAGCGCTGCTGAACAAAAGCAAACACACATGTGTAGCTAAGGTTTGTCTAGCATATGCAAGGTCGTACCTTTGATTCTCAGCATCTCAAATGACATTCAAGCTGGGAATGGTGGCACACACCTGTACTCCCAGGTACCTGGGAGGTTGAGGCAGGAGGATTGTACATGACCAGCCTGGGCAACATGGCCTAACCACAACTCAAAATCACTTAAATCTCATTCTCCAAAGAATGGACCCATGCCGCATACCACTCAACTGTAAATGAGTTTTTTTCTTTCTTTTTTTTTTTTTTTTTTTTTTTTTTTTTTTTTCCATAGATCTGGTATATCTACATGTGGGAAACAATCATTATGACACGGAGCTATTGGATCTTTTCAGATCTAATTAAATATGCACAACGGCACAGTAAAAACCTGTCCTTTCACTACAGCAGTCACTCTACAGCTGGATATGAAAAAAAGACCTGGTGTCTCGGATGAGAATATGAGTCAGTGCTCCATTACAGAGACATGCAGCCCAGAATACAGTGCTCTGAGCAGCTACATGGAATTCTGGGTACTATAAGTCTTTTGGACAATTATGTACACCTTGTAGTGCCAGCATTCAAGAAAATGAAGAATTGAGTTCAAGGCCACCCTGGGGTACAAAGCAAGATCCTGCCTTAAAAAAAAAAAAAAAAAGCCATCCATGTCAAGATATATCCTATGAACATGATGCATGTATTCAAAACTTGTATTTAAAGATGAACTAGATGGGAGGCGCATTTTTAATCCTAGCACTGGGAAGGTAGAGGCAAGGTAGTGAGCAGAGGTAGACAGCTCAGGCTACAAAGGGAAATTGTATTTGAAGACACAAGCACGAACGGGACAGTAAGTCCCTGTTTTCACTACACAGTGTTATTTTAGAAATTCTCAAAGGGTTTTGTGCACATGTTTTAACTGTTGTTGGGTTTTTTGTTGTTTTTGCTTTGTTTTGTGTTTTTTTAAGCAGAGTTTCACATAGCACAGGTTAGCTTCAAACTTACAAAGCTGATTATGACCATGACTCCTGATCCTCCTGCTTCTGCATCCAAGGTGCTAGCGTTACAACCATGCCCTACTACATCCAGGTAGTTCACAAATCATTTTTAAAACAAAGCTTCCAGATAACATAGAAGGAGGAAATAACCTTTAGTCATTTCAAATGGGAAGTACGACATTCACAGAATCCCCTCACTGCTCTGCACTGTCCTGACAGCCACGTCTCAGGCTCCACCCCAGATACCGCTGACAAAGACAACATCAGAGCAATGTTCTTAATAGCAAACTTTATTTTCACTGTGATATAATTTCATAGCAGACCGATGCAAACGACCCCACATGACAAATGTCAGCAAGAGATTTCACACACTTCAGGGCAGGACGTGTAGCTCTGGGGGATCCTGTTGACACCCAACATTTCACCCCTTATCTGCTAGTACAGACAGAGCCATCATAACACAGGGCTGATGTCAGCTGCTGGCGCTCAGGTTAGACAGTTGCCGCCTCTCAACAGTTAGCATGGTAACAGCTCCTCTTCACCTGGGCGTGCTCAGTGTCCGTTTCTGTAACGTGTCAGAATATGTACATATTGTGCGCTTATCTCTTCATACACTGTAATGTGGGAGTTTGGAGACCTTCAAACTTCAAGGCCCACGCAGGGACATGGCCGCTACGAATTCGGTGAGCTAAGCATGTTAATCCCAAGTTTGGCAACCATCAGCAAACTGTGCAAAGAAAAAACAAGTCATCAGGAAAAGGACACAACAGGGGATTTTTTTTTTCCCCCCAAGGAACAAAGCCTGCAGGTCCCTCACAACTGTGTGTGAGAAGTACTACAGCAGCACAGTCAGGAAGAAAACATCTTCCCCTGGCACAGGAAAATCATGCCAGTATTGTGGCACATGGAAACTCTAGCCCAATGCCAGTAGCTTAGAAGGGCTGAGGAAAGGAGGGTAAGATAGATGAACACCTCAGAGGCCACAGGGCCAGTTAATGGCAGGTCCCCTGCCTCCCGGTTTAGTGGTTGTGACTACAGTCTATTACAACTGTTTGTTTCCACTGTAAAAGACTTTAATCAAGAGCATAACCACAGCCAAAGACAAGTGGGCCTCTATCTCTCTGAGACAGATTTTTTTGTTTTTAATTCTCCTTCCTCTAGAATGTGTTTATTATACTTAAGAACTTGTCAATTTAAGACAGTTTGGTTTAGGTTTTTGCAATTAAATTTAGAAAATGGGATTCAGTTAAAAATTCCCTTTTAGCAAAATTTTCAATGAAGGACACTTGAGGAACTAACAGGAAACCCACGTGAACAGTCTCACGCAGCCACATCCACAAACTTGTGATGATGTAATGTAGGGGACTCTAGGAAAGTCCACAGAGAAAATTCAAGATCATACCTACAATGAATGAATACATGACTTAAGGACTGACTCAACTACAAAGGCTTTAGTAGCCTTTCCTACTTGTGAGAAACCTAAAAATGGAAGTTGAAGTCGAGGATCAGAGACTGAATCAAGCACATTTCTAACGCAGGCAATGTCTTGAGAAAACAACTCAACTGTCCACATAAAGAGAATTGCAAGTACCTGGCACCTGCGATTAAACCTGCAGGCATAAATTTCCCAGAGTTGTAGAATCTCATCCCCATAATGCCCGCCAACGTCCCAGATGTGGCTGAGGAAGAAAAATCAGTCATTACATCGACATGCAAGGGAGACAGAAGTGAAGTCCCACCCACCTTTCGAGACCCCCGTCCAAGAATGCGGGTGGAGGGGTCCTAGGCTAAGCTTCATTGCTGCCCATAATATTCAGGTCTAAGGACAAATACGGGCCAAGGAAGGGCCTTCACATTCTGCTATGGTTGACTCTCGATCGCCCCAGGGGCTGATGTTTCGGGTGCTTGGTTCTCATCTTTGGGGAACACTTTGGAGTCTCTGGAGTGGCCAGAAGCAGATCACTAAGACGGGGCTCTGAAGGCTATGTCCATCTGAGGTTTCTCATCTGTTTCTCGGCCCCCCCCTACTGTGAACAAACCCTCCCACGAAGGCCAGGACCACTACCACCAACATGCCTTCTACCATGATAGCTCTCTGAAACCAGGAGTGACTGCTCTGTTGGGTGTTTTGTCACAGTGATGAAAAAATGACGAGTTTTATATAGATACAGGACCTTGGGAGACTGAAGAGAAGCATTCCATGGGCAAGGGGACAAAAATGGAGACTGAAGTGACTCTATGGTGTGAGAGAGGAAGAAATGAGGGAAAGTTTAAGTGGGTATATAGAGAAGCTCCTGAAAGGGAAGGAAAAAGCCAACAACTGAAGAGGAAGAGGGCTCAGAGGTCCTTCCTCTTCTAAACGGGTCAAAGTTGACCACACGTGAACTTTACATGGAGGGATCCTACATGGGGATGCAAATACATGACAAACAGTTCAGAGTTCAGGAGCTGCCTCAGAAGAGGAGGGACATGGAAGGAGGGATGGCCTGGGAGCTGAAGGCTGGAAGGGAGACACTGATTAGTGGTGGCTCTTTTGTTGTTTTCCTCAACCAAGTACTCACGGGATCACCTGAGGAGCGCATGCTGGGATCAGAGAGACTGAAGGGGCCTGTGAGCCATTCCAAAGCAGAATGCTCAGAAGAACCGACAGCCCACTGCATTCTCGTTCCTCGGATTTCCCACAGCTGGCCTCCCTGCCTCCCTCCCCCACAGCTGGTGTGCAGAGGCCGCTCTGCGACGCTCTCTGTGACACCTTTGGGGCAGTTGGGGATGCATGTGTTCTTATACTATGGATGTCACAGCCCTGACAATAGCCAGCACAGGGGTGGAGGTGATAAGAAGCCATCTTCTCTTTCCCATTCCCGCCCGGGCTACACCCATGACACTTATCTACAGTTCCGGAGTCACACTGCCTGACGGGCCAGTGAGCCTGAATGCTCCCCAAAGGCAAGGTCTGTCTGTCTGTGTCTTACACAATTAACGGACTATGAAAGAAGAAGAGAAATGTCCAAATGGGAGAAAGGTTATATGGACTCAGGCCTCACGGGATGTGTGAGATTTCTCTATGTCTCAAAGTTTCAAGCAGGCTATCTTTAATATGAAACTTCAATAGTTAACACACACTGTCTTGTCCATTTTAAACCAAATATCACAGAAGGGACAAATCTGCGCTGTATGATAGCTTTCTGTATTCCGTATATAAAAGGGAAACAACCCAGGGTTCCCCACGATGAAACCCACCTATACCTTGGCAGAAGCAGGTGACTTGGTAATGAAAAGAACCTGCCACAGCCACCCATTGGGGTCTCAAAGCCAAGCACGACACAGTGGCAGAACCTGACGCAAACCTACCTAGGAAAACCCACACATTCCTGGGATCCTGAGACAGCTGATAAGCACCCAGGCCTGCCAGGCCCCCGAAGAAGAGTCCGGCAGCCAGAGATGGCACACTACCTGGGGAGAAGCAGACAGGCATGCACCTGTGTTGTAAACCGTCAGGCATCACACAGAGCTTCCACGAGGCTCCCCTCCCCCCGCACAGGAAAGCTGCAAAAGAGAGGCTGTCTCATGAGGCTTACAGCCACAGTGGTCCCAGCATGGGGGTGTCTGAGGAGACTACCAGAGAGGTTGGGGTCTTACCACACAGCCCACTCTCCTTTAAGAGGTGTCTGATTCTGTACAGTGCTTGTTTGGCCCACACAAGGCTCTGGTGTGGGCAACAGAATGAGCAGGAACAAGGTTTCCTACTTGAGGAGCTGACAGATGGCACATCGGGGTCTGGTGTATGGCAATGCATGATAACAACCTCCCACTACCACCTCGGCCTATCTGTATGTAAAGGGGGATGGGAGGGGGAGACTGCCTGGCTTAGCTCAGCCAGATAACCAGAGGCCAGTGCCGGAAGAGCCTGACTATTCGGCAAGCTTGAGCCAAACAAGCTTAGGCTTCAAGGACCCTGGGGACTCACATTTCACTACACGGAAGTGACAATTTCTATAAAGTAACAGGAAGGGCTTACCTGCTTTTGCATAGCCAATAATCCCGCCGGTAGCAACCAGGGCTGCATAGCCAAAACCAAAATAATGTAAAGGCACCCTGAAACGACAAAGGGGAGAAGCAGCTGGTACCAATCAGATTTAAAACACAGATCACAAAATCTCTGAATGGGGCCGGTGTGGTGCTCAGGATTGGTAAGTGTGCCCCCACAGCTGGCAACCTGAGTCTGATTACATTACAGGGAATCTACACAGCTGAAGGAGAAAACCAACACCCACAAACTCCTCTGACCCTTACACACGCAGCATGGCCCAAGCGCATCCACATTAAGTAAATAAACAAATAAATGCAATTTTTAAAATCGTTGGCTGGGACCAAAAGGTTGTCATTTCCAGCAAATCCTGTCACTGTACAGACAGAGGAGGGGGGACAGGCCTAGTCACAGAACTGGCCCTTGGCAGAACTGGATTCAAATCCACCAGCCAAGTCCAGGGATCATGCCACAACCCAGGCTGCCCCTTGGCAGTGCCAGGCTGAAGGCTCTTGTCATGTGCTCTGGTTCTAAAAGCTCCAGGTTATTCTATCCCTATGCATTGGGCACTTACAGTGGGCCACTGTCCTTCTGCATTGTTCAGTCACGTGGGAGACCACACCGGGCCTGCACCTGTGGAGGAGGGGTCAGGGCAGTTAAAACTTGAAGGCCTCTAGCAGTCAGAAAGAAGTGAGTTCAAGGTACAGCTCTGGGTGTGGACACAACAGTCCCTTGGGTACACAGCTTCTGGTGGCCCAAGCTCTGTGATCCGGTGAAGGTACCTGGGTAACAAGTAAAGCCCTTCCGTGCATACCAAGTGCTGGAGAGGCACCAAGCATTTTTACCTCAACCCCCGCTGTAGCACAGACCCACATAAGTGAGCAGGAGTCACTGACCAGCTCTGGACAAGTTCCAAGCTGTCTCACCAGTTAGCTGATTGCTAAATCAGAAACCAAATGGCCTACGCCTCTTAGGGTCTCCAAGGGTCAGGATGACCGCTGCTTTCTCTTAAATGTCCTCAATATTTGCATACTTTTAGAAATCCTTGTATCCGACCCTCAGCTCCTGTTAGGTTGGAGACAGCGGGAAACCCGAGTCACAACTGCACTGGACTCTACCCGCCCTACAAAGTAACTCCTGCTCTCTTACAGAAAAGCGCTCCAAAGCGAAGAAGCAGCGCACGCGCGTTTAGGTTTCCACTCCGGAACACAGGGTTAACAGAACGCTTTAGAGAGGCCGGAAGCGAGCTCAGCAGAGAGTGCACGGGAGAGGCCCGCTCGCCTGCGGACCAGGCAGTCGCGTGCCGAACAATTCCCGAGTGGTAAAATCGGCAAAGTAAGAACACACCCAACACCGGAGCCCGAGCCCGGAGGTCTGCGCTGGAGGACGAGGAACGGAGGTCAGTAGCCGGGTCTGCAGACGTCACGGCGCTCGCTGCGTCCTAGCAGGAAGGGCGGGGCTTGAAGGACGAACGGGGCCTAAGGGCAGAGGTTGGGCTGACCTAGGGTGGGGCTTTAGGCGAGAGGGGCGGGGTTTGTAGTCACGCAGGGAAAGGGTTTTGCGTTCCCCGTAGCGGTGGTGCGGGTTCGGCTGCGGGGTCTGTAGCCCTCCCCCCGCCCCCGCCCCCACACTCTTTGGTGAGCCCGGAGGCCTGAGGACACCCCGAGGCGGTTAGAGGAAGGCGCAGTACCTGGCCCATAAACTACCGTTGGGTGGATGAGATGGAGGGGTAGTTAGCAAGGAGTAATGTCGATACAACACGAAAAATCAGACCAGATGGACCTGACCAGTGTTCAATCAAACGTTTACATCTAATGTTTTTATCTGCATAAATGCCACAGGATGGAAGCCCTTGGGATGCATTCCTTGAGTTAACAGTAACATAGATAGCAGCTGGAAAGTGCCCAGGATACCAAAGAAGGAAGAAAATCCTTCACATATCCCCACAGTGGCTGTAGATATTACGGGAGGGAAGAGGAAGAGCAAAAGGCAAAGTCCTAGGCTTGAGCATCATCAGCAACAACTGTATTCCTTGGCTGGATGCTTCCAAAAACAGGGCAGGGTATGTTCTCTGCAGGCCCCTTCAGCCCTCGGGAATGTGGAGTTTGAGAGGAGGGTTGTTTTGTTTTCTTTCCTTTATTGATGTAGCTTGGAGTTGTGGGTTACTGTAGCTTGCCTTATCTTTAACCTTCCACCACTCTCCAAATTCTCTTCTGGGTAGCATTGACCTTAAGTCAAACAAACCTGGAGTTCGAGGCTAGACCTTACTCCTCCTAGCTAAGGGTCTTTCATCACTGCTCTCTCTGATGGAAATACTCTTCTTATAATCTGAAACTCAACCTCATCTCTTGGGTTGATGGACAGCCAGCTTCTCCCCAACCCTTACCCCCACCAGATCATTGCATTGAAAACATCCATTTATCTCAAAGCCTTTACCTTTTAGGAAGAGTTTTTTTTTTTTTTTTTTTTCCTTTTAGCCCCAGAATCTGGGTTAATGGCAGCCACACCTGGTAATGTATGGCTATTGAATTAAAAGGGAGTCCGTAGAGTAGGAGGCTAGTGTCAAGGAGTGGAATTTTGTGTGTGAAAATCTGCTTCTATGCAAACATCAAAGTAGGCATTCCAACACATTACATTCCTAGCCTGAAAAGCAAAATCAACCCTAAACATGCATTCCTTATTTTTAGGTAAACTACTGCCTTTAGCAAACCGTGGTATCCAAGGGAAGTTCCCTAAGCCAAGAAGGTGGCAGAGTACAGCCTGTCAGGTCTCCAGCACAAGTAGGGCAGGGGGGCTGAGATTTGAGATACCTAGTTTAGGAACACTTTCAACTGTCTCTTTTGTCTGTCTGTCTGCACTCCCCCCTCCCCTCTCTGACCCCTGCTTTTCTGTCTCCCCGACTGCTCCAGGAGCTGCCCCCAATGAACCTGCCTTGATACACTTAAAAAATAAATAAAATTAAATCAGTTTCAAACAGGGGGAAATGGGATAAATAAGAGCCTTCAGAAGAGGGTGCCAGTCTGGTAGAAGAGGCACGTTGGCCACATGTCAAAGCAACTCAGTGTTAATGTACTGCCACACAGATAGCTCACATCTGCCATCAGCCTTTTAAACCGTGAGCCCGTCTAGTTCAAGAATTCTTGCCCTGAGGGTACTAAGCAACGGTTTACTCCTCACAAGGTCTCAATTGCAAACCAAGCTCACCTTGAGGAACCAAGGAGTTTATTAAGGTCACTTGCAGACTATGGCTGAATACGAGTGACCCTAAAGCAGTCACACTGGAAGCCCTGTACCCAGCATGAATGATGGCTAAGGATCCTTATGCTGTGTAGATAGAGCCCCCTTCCCTAGCCCTCCTCCATCTATAAACTCTACCCCTCCCCCGAATCATATGCCATTAGGGCAGAATGCATGAGCCTGGATGGGAGGAGTGACTGGCTATGGAGGCGAGTGTTCCGTAACCCCTCTCCGCTCCCTCGGGGGAAGGTGAACAGTCGAAGAGTCCAACTGGGTGGTCTTTTGCAAGCAGGCACGGCTGAGCTCATGAAGATGGTGGCAGCCTGCAACAGCCTGGATCATAGTACTATGGGATGGAATCACACACTTCTTCAGAGATGCATTGTACCTGCTGGCCCTTGAGGCACCACGGAGCTCGCCTTGGAGGATACGTGGAGTCAATGAATGACCTGATTAGGGACTGGTGATACTCCATATGTATTGTGAATATTTTGCCCTCTGTCTAGTGTATCATACTTAGTGTGGATGTCACATATAAATTTGGGCATCTATGAATAATGGGTATCTTGGACTATTTATTCCTATTTATGCTTAAAACACTTTCTATTTACAATTTTTCCTCTTTACTACTTTGTTTTTCCTAAGATGGGGGTCTGTATTGCTCAGACTAGGCTGGGCTCCTGGGCTCAAGTGATCCTCTAACCCCAGCTTCCTGAGGCGCTTAGACTTTAGGCACATGGCAACTGAATTACTATTTATACCAGCCTCATAAACTTGCCTGATCTGTGCATTTCTCAGTAGAGCACAACTCTTTTGCCACTATAGATACAACTGTGACTGACTGCACCAAGATTCCCAGATGACTGGAGCAAAAGGATCCACTAAATAAACTAGGACTATGTAGAAGATATAACTCACTTCTGTAGGCACTAGGGAAAAAGTCAAGGCTCCAAGTTGCAATCAAATCACACAGAATTGTTGCTAATGCTTGGGCAACATGGAGATTCCAAATAATAGTATCTCATCTATCACTGAAGCCCATATGTTTAACTCTTTGAGTTTTGACACGGTCTCAGTCCCATATACCTTGAATTCCTGGACCTCCATCTACCTCCTGAGTGCCAGGATTACAAGGATGCCCCACCATGCTCACCTGAAACATTACGTTTATATATAACTCCTTTAAATCCAGATTATCTTTTATTTTAATAAAAGCCAAACTACCATAGATTTTGTGTGTAAGTCACAATAGCAGAGGGAGCACACGTGTGATGGTGATTATGAGGTCAGAAAACAATTTGTGGGGTCAGTTTTTTCCTCCCACAACTGTGGGCTTCAGGAGTTGAACTCAGGTCTCTGGGCTTGGCGGCGAGTACATTCAACCAGCCACCACACCATCCTTCTGGCCCACAGATCTTCACCTTTTCCTTTCCACTCACACTATGTCGCTGAGGCTTCCCATCTTTCCCTCAAGGCATCCCATTCAGGCAATTGGCATCTATTAAAACTGTTACTTTCTATTTATGGATGTTTGTAGCTCTGGTGGTCTTGGAACTTGCTCTGTAGACTAGGCTGGCTTTGAACTCACAGATCTGCCTGCCTCCTAAGTGCTTCTGTAAAGGTGTGTGCCACCACTTGACAAAATATACCCTTAGTAGGATGACGGCCGACATTAAGTACTTAACAGTCTGTTACGCTTGTTCTGAGACCATCACACTCACTGACTCATCATAATCCTACACCAATCAAGGCACAGAGGGTATGGTAACACCTTATGAGCCAACATGGCAACACGTGAGTCAAGACTGGTTAGGTAGGTATTTTGATGCTCTGGAAGATAATAAAATATACATGAAGTATTGTTTTCTTGGCCTTAAACTTGCTTGTCATTCACTGCTTAGAAGCAGAATTGTCTGGAAAATCCCCTTCATCCACTCCTGGTAAAGACTTATTAACAGTTGTGTGCAGGGGGCTGGGGCTGGGGGGCTGGAGGCTGGTGGTGCAAAGGCAGAGTTTATGAACATGAAAGACCCTGGGCTTAATCCCAAACAGCACCAAAAAAGTACATTAAAAACTCTGTATTACTTTAGGTACAATATTTTCAGATCTTTACTTATTTTGAACAGTAAAAAGTATACATACATTACAATTACTATATACTATAATATATAATAAAATGCCATCTGCCAAAATAATTTTACCATTGAAAAAACAAAGCACCACCTAAAAGTGGTTCTTTTTTTAAGCTGCACATTTTCTCCAGAAGGAGAAATTCTTTAGTTTCTCATGTGGGAAAGTTAGGTATAATATTTGAAAAGAATTCTGTCAAAAAGACATTCTCTTGGGGAGGAAAAACCTGGGATTTCCCACAAGCTACATTTTCTTCTTTCTCTTCTTGTCCAACATGTTTATCCTTTTCCTCTTCCTGGTTGTTGCTGGGCTGTTTCCTTTTGTTGGCTTCTTGCTGTCACCAGTTAAATCAGATTCCTTTGAGTTAAGTTCTGATGTTTCTTCTTCCTGAATTACGTCACCAGAGTCCTTTTTGATTGTTTTAGGTTGTTCTGAAACAAAAGAGGCAATGCACTAAGGACCATCTCCCCCCTCAGGTGAGGCTATCCTCAATGACTACTCATGAGGGGACAGACTGCTCAGTCTTTTAAACCATCGCCTTAATTTACCGGGGGAGGGCTCTGCTGCTGGAGGAAGGCTCGCTTTTTCATTTGTCGTCGTGTCTAACCACACTCCAAGACACGTTAGCCTGGCACCAGTGTTCACCTCACACAGCAAAGATGGGGGATCTTTCTGAATCAGAAGAAAATAGCAAAAATAAACAAACCAAAAACCCTTTACTTAAGCCAGAGGACTATTTGGATAACTGCCTTTCTTTTGCCATAACTAAATAATCTTAACTGATGTTCTATTATACCATTATGTACCACAAAAGAATGTTTCAGTGCTGGCGTGAGTGTGCCACACCACGTGTGACAGCATCCACGCACAGCAAGATGTTCCACCAGGTTATGTGAGCGCACTGATGGGATTGCCCAGCAGGGCAGCTGTCACAACACAGCCCTCGGTCAGGGGTACAAGCCTGTGTTCTCCTGAGTATACGATGCTCGGAGGTAGCTCACCACCATGCTTTACAGTTGACCTGACTAGGGTGCTCACAGGGCCGATCTCGTCAAAGTATCCAGAAATTATAAAATTCTAAGGACACAAATTATGCCATACGCAGAATAAATAATACTAAATGGAGCCTAAGGAGGGAATTCAATGTTTGGTTATCTGGTTCAAAATAATTGGTAGTTTCACCCACACCCACCCACACAAAGCAGAGTTTTCATGACTGGAAGGACAATGGGAGGTCTGAGACCTGACCTAACCAGCCCAAAGCCTCAGGGCAGCTCTGCGCTAACCCTGACTTTAAACTACCAACACATGTTATGCCTGGAAGAGATCTTAAAAGCTTAAGGATCTACGTGTTATAAATCAAACACTCTCTGTTAACTTAAGGTAATACTTTAATACTATTATATTGTGACATAATAATAGATAATATAATACAGTCAAGCTTGCACCACAGTGTGTTGCCACTGACCTTATCCTGCTTAAGCGTCCACATTTTGATGAAGCCATCATTTGATGCTGTGACAAGAACATGATGATCTGGAATTTCAAAACTGAACACGTCTTTTACCCTAGGAAACATTAATGCCAGAGATTTCTTCTAAAGGGTGTGATATCATAAAATTTCAACAGTCTGTTTTATCAATGTTTTAGGTGTTTTCAAAGTGTTCAATAGACAGCAGCCTAAGATATAACAAATGCTGCACATTCCCATTGAACAGTGTATTATTTTCAGGGCAAATTATGGGATAAAACTGTCCATATCTAAAGGAAAAAACAAGTGACAACTTCAAATGCTCAGGTGATCTTCTAGGTCCCAGAACTTAGGAGATAAGGTTGTGCCAGATGAAGCCTACACTCAACCAACTGCACATGCACACAGGAAAGATGCTGACTACAGGCTCAGGAAAAGAAAGAGAAGAACGGGTTTCTCCAGTCACGACAACCACCATTTCCAGTCTAAGCTCCCTTTCTGTTTCCAGACTTCGGCCGCTGCCCAATACAACACTCTCCCTCCATTTCTGTTGGATGAACGTTTCAAGGGGAAGAAAAATCATATTTCCAGGCCTAAAAACCCTCAAAATTGTAATTTTATGTTAATTAACATTGATGGAACAGCACGATGGCTCAGTGGGTAAAAGTACGTGCCGAGTAAGCCTGATGGCCTGTGGAAGGAAAGAATCATCCCCACAGAGTTGTCTTCAGACCTCCAAACACTGTGTTTTGGCCCCCACCCCACCATTTACAAATACACAACACACAATTAGAAATAATTAAAACACACAGAGGAGGAAGTACCTGGGGATAGAAATGGGGTGCAGATTAGTCCTGAGGTGACAAATGCTGAGCTAGTGGTAGCTGTGAGCAGGCTCCCTAAACTGGCCTATCAGCCTTTTAAGTTTTCTCTATGTAAACAGAACACAGGGAATGAAGCTCAGACAAAGTACCTGCCAAATGCCACTGCCTTACAATATGAGGCAGGGGAGCATAAGCTCCTGTCGGTTTTGTCCTCACTGAAAAGGAAGGTGCAGCAGCAATGCCAGGAATACATCTGAAACAGCTTCCCTTAGATGAGTTGACTTCCTAGTACTGGGAAAGCACTTGTACACAACTGAAGAACTGAATGCTTTCGAAGACAGGTTTCTGAAAACAGCCGCTCCCAGGCTCACCTGAGCCATGGCTGATGGGGCACAGTGCACTAAAATGCTGTATGGTATTTCCTTTCTCAAAATTATACTTAAATAAAAATTTAAAACAACAACAAAAAAACAGGCATGTTCCGCTTTCGCTGGCCTGGACTTGTGAGAGCTCTTCTTGCTTAAATGTGAAATGATCCTGGCCAAGTAAAGGACCAACTTCACCTGAGACTTACTACCTACCCTTACACACACAGCAAGCACTTGGGGATGGAGCTCAATAGTGTTATTTGATTTTTCCTATGGGGAAAAGGAGCAGGGAAAGGGGAAGTGGGCAAAGGAATTACGAAAAAGGACATGAGTAGTCAGGGTTTTCAAAGCTCAATGTTGTCTAGCTTTTCTTTGCTCAAAAATGTTTGATATTCAAGTGCAACCATTACTTTAAAGTACAAAATGACTAGTCACAGCAGTCACTTCACCCCTCCTGCATTAGGAAATCCAGGGAACTAACACTTTCCATCATCTCCTTAGATGCCAGGGATCATGTACATGTGACATGTCTGATTATCCTTGTTACCCATAACACAGACATAAACACACACAGAGATTTAGGTTAACATTCAGTGAAACTACATAAGACTACATACACACAGACTGCTTTAAAAACAAAACAAAACAAAAAAGAAAAACAAACCATACCTGTTTTCATGAGCTTTAAATTCACAAAGGCACACTAGTGAATCACAATCAAAAAACCTTACAACTTCTTCATCACCGGCCACTGCAAGGACAGAGTCCTAGGAGAAAGAAAAACAATACCCAAACTGTCCTCGGGAATCCTGACACCTCCAAACTCCAGCCCTGCTTTCTGGAACTCACTGAAAGGAACGTAACGGAGGAGATCCTCTTTCCGTTTGTGAGGGTGCCGCTCACAGACGCCGTGTCCAGCCGGTAGACATCCACTTTATCCAGCAGGACGACTATGTACTTGTCTCCGCCGGGAGACCACTCCACTATGTGCGCATCTGTAAGACAAAGCACCTTGCTGGGCCTGGCGGCTCGTGCTGTCCGCGCAGCATTGGGGAGGTGCAGAAAAGAGAGTTAAGGCGTTCAAGGCCACCTCGCTACATAGCAATTTTAAAACGACACTAGTCTATATGAGACTGTCTCAATAGCCCTATCCTGGCTAATAAGACCTTAAAAAAATTCACAAAAACAGGCAAAAATTAATTTTCCCCAAAGGAAAATGGTTCTCTTTCTCACAATAAATCCCTACTGCACACTTCACAAGTTAAATTGTAGATAAACAGAGTTTACAGAATTTCTGAAGGTCATAATGATAGTGTGTGGCAGAACCCAGATCTAACAGAGAAAAAGAAAGTAACCCCAAACCTTGTTCTCAGGGGCCACTACCATCTACCAGGAAATAAACATGTACACACGTTTATTATGATAGAGTGTGTGAGCATGGGCTGGAGAAATGGCTCAGCAGTTAGCAGCTCCTCCTCCTCTTGCAGGAGACCCAAGCTCATTTCCCAGTGCCTATAAGGTGGCTTTCCACAACCTTTTCTAGTTCTGGTTCAGGGGACCTGACACCTTCTTCTGTTCTAACCAACACCATGTACACATATCCACATACCTACCTGCAGTAAAACATTCCTAAGTATAAAATAAAGATAAATACATCTTTAAAAAAAATGGACACAGGGCTGGAGAGATAGCTCAGGAGGTAAGAGCACTGGCTGCTCTTCTGGGGAACCTGGGCTTGATTCCCCGCACCTACATGGGGCCTTGCAACCATCTGTAACCTGAGTTCCAGGGGAACTGATGTCATCTTTTGACCTCCAAGGTTCCAAGGATCCAAGTAGTATACAGACATACAAACAGGCAAAACAACCCTACATATAAAGTAATAAATATATAAAAAATGTGTCTGCATACATTCATAGTCTAGCTAATTATTGTAAAATGGACAAAATACTCACTTTGCTTTATATTTTTTATGAAAGCTGATCTTCCCTCTACAAGATTCCAAGTTCTGCAAAACAGGTTTGTTTACAGCATTATCATCATGTCACTAAGTGAAAAAAACAAGCACAACAGGCCTCCACACAGAACAATTTCACCACACGCTGTATGTTTAAAGCACCTGCAGTTTACTTTGTAGCAGTTTGTTAATGCTTTCTTCGAGCATGACTGAGGCTCGGCCCATCCCTGAACCTTTAGACATGTTAAACATATTGTTATCCATCACATTTTCATCTACTAAACATTCTTCCTCAGGGTCACGCTCCTCTCCATTCACTTTACAATCACTGAAACATGGTTTGGTTTTTTGTTTTTTTTTTTGTTCGGTAACAGGGTCTCAGCCTGGAACTTGCTATGTGGACCTGCCTGGCCTCAGATTCAGAAATCAGTCTCCTCTGCCCCCAAGTGCTGGGGTTAAAGGCGTGCACCACCTTCCCTGACCAATATGGATCATTTTTTATACCATCATTATGATAGTTCACTAACTTTCTAGTTTGCTCATTATCACAGTAATTTAAATGGCTGAAAGCTTTGGAACGATATAGAAACAGTATTTTGTTATTGCTAACTGAAAGACCCATTAAAAGATGCCCCTGGGAATTTAGAACTTACCTTAAGGTCTTATCGGTACCAACAGACAGAGCCAACTTGCCAGATGGGTGGATGGAAAGGAAAGTCACATGTCCTCTAAAAGGAAACCGACAGTTAGCCCTCGGCTTGAGTGGCACAGTGAGAATGCCAACAGGGACACGTGGACTCACTTGTGAGCTTTAATGGACTTTAGGCATTCCCACTTCTTTGCATCCCAGACACAGATGAGTCCATCTTCTGCGCCACTGAGTAAGTGCCGGCTGCCATGGAATTTCAGGCAAGTTATTGTGCCTGTGGAAAAGCAAGACATGAAAAATTAGATCCATTCTGAACACAAATCCCATTTCTGGTTGGAAGCATGGAGGATGAATGCATTTTGGAAGTGGCTCTGCCTAGCACAGTCAAGACTAAAAAGTTTTCATTCGTTTTGGTAGCTCTGGGAGATTAAACTCAGAGCCTCTGTACATTCTAAGCAAGGGCCTTACCACTGAGCTATAACCCCAGGATAAGGTGGCAGCTTTAAGCTGGGCAGTGATGGCGCATCCCAGTGCTGGGGGGATCAGGAGAAGGGCAGGTGGATCTCTGTGAGTTCAAGGCCAGCCTGGTCTACAGAGTGAGCTCAGGACAGTCAGGCCTACACAGAGAAGTCTTGTCACAAAAAGACAAAAACAAAAAACCAACCAAACAAAACAAGAATGCAGCTTTAAGTCTATGCAGATGTGTTCAGCATGCTGAGCCATGAGTCCTACTTGCTAGGTATGGAGCCACCAAGCCAGTCATCACTACCAAAGAGCTGTGATTTATGTCTACATTCTCACTTACTGCCATCAGGATTATTAACAATGCTATAAAATGTTACTTTTCCAGACCAGTGGTTGACAAATTTTCATTTGTCATTTCAATTACTTCAGGACCTTCAGTTCCCGCTACCAACTGAAGCCTTGTTCTCCTAAGATGTCCTCAGCCTGATCAAGTATTAAAAGGCTAAGGGGGGCAGTGGTGGAAGATCATTACAAACGTCTAGCCACAAAGCAGTCCAAACCACACCTTCACCTTTGAGATGCCTCTGAAGCCTGTGTAAACTGGCTAGGGTTCTGTTTCTATAAACATGGTGTTCCTAGACAGCACCCAGTTCACTCCCCTAGAAAACATACTGCTTTTGCAGAGCTGAGTGACTGTAACACAGGTCATACACAAGGTCCACAAAGCCTCAACATTGACCATTTGGTCATCTGAAAACCCCTGAGTCACTATTTTCATCTACTCATCTCCTGTTCAGTCTTACCAATATCCTCTTTCTAGCAATTCTGCTTCCTCACATCTGGCCCTCTGCCCATGACTCCATGTACTCCCCAGACAAGACCTTATCTATTACCAACTATTTGTAAAGAACAGCACTTACACAAGCAAGGGAGGAGAACAGGAACCCTACTTCTCTCATGCCATCTAAGTCCTTGCTAACTGTTAAATGTGAAACATCTTATATGTTGAGATTACTCAAAGAAGAGCAAGGCAAAGATGCTTAGGACTGTGCTAGAATAGAAGCAAGTACCTGTCATTCCAACCTGTCATTTTTAAACCCTAAAAACCAATACTCAGTGCATACATAACCCCTCAAACATTAAGGGGAGAAAAGGATCCTATTTTCATCTGCCTTTCTCTATGGGAGAAAATGGCTAAGTTTCTCAAGCTAAGGAGAAACAATTCTGAGTTCTCCCCTGCCTTTACCTTCATCTCTACTGCATTTAAAAAAAAAAAAAAAAAGCAATGAAAAAAACAGTCTTTCCATCCCTTGACCTGCCTCTACATTGGGCAGTTTTGCAGAGGCATGGAAAACCCAGCTATTAATGTACAATTGCTCCTCCTTGGCCTCAGTTTCAATGCCCTTTGTTCCGCGGTATTTTATCCTGGAACGCCTATGGTATTCTGAGCTTAGGCTGTAGGTAGATGAGACTCAGTACAACACAGCCTACTATCTGCCTCTCTGCCTCACTGGACCAGGAAAGCAATCTAAGGACAAGGAACATCTCCTTTCCATTCAGTTCTGTGGTCTGAATGGAAATGGCCTCCATATGCATAATTAGGAGGTGTGGCCTTGTTGGAGTATATGTGACCTTGTTGACAGAAATGTGTTGCAGGATATTTGATCCCATTGTGACCCCAAAATTGTGAACTGTAAAACTGTTTATTGTTTGGTTAGGGACTAATACACACCTTTAATTCAAGAATTTTCTGTTTATTTTAAACAGGTGATTATGGTGTGGTTCACCCAGCCCTAGCATACACTTTTAATCCAAGAGCTCTCTGTATACCAAATCTAATAAAGTTAATCCTAGGTCAAGAGGCAGAGCAAGAAACCAGCCTTTAAGGAGGAGGGACTCTCAGCTGGGTAGTATTAAAGACAGCAGGGAGAAGGAGATTTTAGCTCAAGCTCTGGCTTTAGCTTAGGCTTCAGCTCCTGAGCTCCCTGGCTTTTGGGGCTTTGAACTAGCAAGCCTTCTGCCTTGGGTGTTTTTTTTTTTTGTTTTGTTTTGTTTTTTTTGGCCTTTTCTTCCTGGGCCAAAAAAACTAACCAGCTGTACTAATGAGCCTTTTGGATTTTTTTCCATCTGGACCTCAGCTGAGAAGGAAAGTCAGCTGGGTGCTTTCTCTGCCTCTTTAAGCTAGCAGGTTTTCACCCCAGCATCTGGCTCCTCCGTCCTTGTCGGTAAAATAGAACAATGGGATTTCCATCATTTAAATAACAGAAGTGTGTCACTGGGGGTGGGCTTTGAGGTTTCAAGTGCTCAAGCCAGGCCTAGTGTCACTCTCTTCTCCTGCTGCCTGTGGATCCAAGATGTAGAACTCTCAGCTCCTTCTCCAGCACCATGTCTGTCTACATGCTGCCATACTTTCCGCCATGATGACAATGAACTAAACCTCTGAACCATAAGCCAGCTTCAATTAAACGTTTTCCTTTACAAGAGTTGACATGCTCATGGTGTCTCTTTACAGCAATAGAAACCCTAATGAGACAATTTCTCTATCTCCCATCACAGATCCTGGACACAGACCTAAACCAAACAGTGTAACTGCTAAAATCAACCATAAAGTGTTAACACCTCCATGTATCTTAAAGGTTACAACTTTGGGGTGGTTTAAGTGCGAATGACCCCCAAAACCCTAGCTCACACATTTGAAATGCTTAGTCAACAGTGACTACAGCTGTTCGAGAAGAATTAGAAGGACTAGGAGGTCTGGCCTTGTTGGAGAAGTTGTGCCACTGGGAGTTTGACGTTTCAAACTTGAAAGGCCCAGTCTCTCTCTCTACCTGCAGTTCAAGATGTGACACTCTCAGGTAACATTCCATTGTAGGAGACAAAAGGAAAATTAAACACACACCTCACCTCTCCAAAAGGAGAAGAAATCTGGATGTTCTCCTGGAATGCTGGGGGATAATTTAGTGTACAACCTGGCAATCCTTTGCTACCTGTTGAGCCAGGCTCTGACATATTCCCTAGAATATTATGTTTCTTTATCCCAGACTTAGCCCTGCCCCAAAACCTTGAGCATTACTTCTAGGCCACAAAATTCATCCTTATGAGAGACATCACTTGTGCTTTAGAAGAGCCTAAGTGACTTCTATGTTGTCTTAGGGCCAGGCCGATCTTGACCCCACATTAAGTTTACCTCAGTCATTCTCCCTACACCCTTATCTTGAGCACTGCTTCTAAATCAACAAAACCCATCTTATGGAAGAAGTCACATGTACTTTCTAAAGAGCTCCAATGTAAACATTTCTTAAGCTTTGCTGCGCTCATGGGACTGAGTTAACTGTTATCAAAAAACTTTTCTCAAAAATCATGCTGTGCTTAAATATGGCTAAAATAAATAAGCTGGTGTCAGGCTCTCAAAGTTTTGGCCCAGAACTGGTTACCTAAGTCATGCTGAACCGAGTTTCATTCTTGTCTCTTCGTGGACTATTTCCCTGCCAGCCAGAAAGCCTACAGGTCACACACACACACCCATCAACATGTCTGTCTGCTTCCTGCCATGATAATGGACTAACCCTCTGAAACTGTAAACAAGCCCCTCATTAAACACTTTCTTTGTGAGAGCTGCCCCAGTCATGGTGTCTCTTCACAACAACAGAACACTAAGACAGACTTACCACTGTGATGCACCAGAGCCCCATGCTCTATCTTCTTTTTCATGTCATAAATGTGAATCGTTTCATCTTTGCTCCCAGTGACCACAAAGCGACTGTTTGCTGCCACGGCAGACAGGGACGCAGTGTGGGCATGGTGCGTGAAGTCAGCCACAGGAGTCCATGTCTGAGAAGGAATGAAACACATGCTCAACACCAGGCACATCACAGTTCTCTGAAAACATAGTTCCACAGTCCTTAAAAATCAACCAGTGGATTCCGCAAATGGAGAAAAGCTATGTATGGACCCACCAGGTGTTTCCCAGGCTCATGTTGTTAACATTACCAGGTGCTGCTTCTAAATCTAACCATCAGCCAACATAACCAATATTATTTATGTAAATTGAACAAACAAGTCATGTTTGACTTTATGGTTGAGTCAGGTGGCCTATGTCTGTACTCAGGATTAAGAGTCTAAAATTCAAGCCAACTATGGTGGTAATGCCTTTAATCTCAGCACTCAGGAAGCAGAGGCTGGCATATCTCTGAGTTCCAGGACAGCCGTAGCTACAAGGTGAGACCCTGTCTCAGAGTGGGAGGGGCGGGGAATAAGAAAGAAGGAAATATTTTGTTAATTAGAGCAGAAACAGTAAAACATAAAGTTATTTTTACATTAGACCTTGAACAGCTACAGTAATTGTCAGCTTAAATGTACAGTTCACTTTCGTGTGCGTTAAAAATGTCAGCTTTTTCATACCTTGAGAATGCGTTAGGGTTTTCTTCCTTTTTAACTAGCATATTTTCATGGAGCACAATGTGATATTTCAGTAAATACATAGATCAGATCTGGAAAAGGAACCTAATCCTTCAACCATGTTCCATGTCTTTGAATTCTGCACTTCTGCAAGCATCCACCTCCCTTCCCTGGCCCCAACCTCTGTCACCCATTCATCCACTCTCCCCACAGAGACCAACATTTTTCGTTTCCGTCTATAGACATTTTACCTACTGTAACAAGTAGATACTATCTCATTCCGAAAAGCCTCTAGTCTGTTGAGAACTGGATCTTTACACACAAGCTCCACGCAAACCCTCCATCAATGATCCACGCAGACCCAACGATAAACAGGCGCCTCGGCGTCTGTCCCGGGCTCCCGGTGCCTCACCTCCCGGTCGCCACTCGTCGCGGGCTCGCGGTGCACTGCGAACCCAAACAGGATCTGCTCGTAGCTGCCAGCGACCAGCTCCATTCAGCAGCACACGTGCCCTGCAGGACAAACCGGCGTGGAGACCCAGTGAGGCAGGCCCTGCTGGAGTCGGCGCGCCAATTCTACGTCACACCGCAGCCGCCCCGCCCCCCCTCCAGGAGCCCGCATCAGTGGCCACGGAGCACACGCTCGTAGGTCACGTGGCACCTCTACGGCACTCTGGAGGGATGAAGCCACGGGAGGAGGTTCTCAGAGCAGAGAAGCTGTGCAGGCAGGCAACTCTGGGGGAGCTGTCAGCGAGGCCGGCCTTGGGAAGTGGGCGGGAACACTCCGCGCAAGCCGCGATTTCCGGTGCGTCTAAGGAAGGGGAGGACCCACTTCCGCCTCCGGTGGCCCGCCCCGTTCCCGGCGTGTCGCAGTGGCTTCGGATTCGGCGGTTAGCTCTCCCCCAGCCTCCCTGCACTCGCCTCCTCCTGCCGCTTCGCGGTGCGAAGGGGTTCGGGTTGTTTCTGCAGAAAGCAGTGTAGGGACCTCTCTGTCGGATCGGCCCGGACATGGTCGGGCTCGCGGGTACCACAGCTAGCAGTGCCCCCTTGCTGGATAGAGAGCCCGGTCCTGCCAGACCGTGTCCGGCGCGCAGGCCGGGCCACCCCGCGCCTCAGTCCTCCTCGGATCCAAACGCTAATCAGACTGGCCCGCGCTAGGAATACGAGATAAAATTGTCTCGTGACGTTCGACAGGGAAGACTCGCGTGTTAAGGGCAAAGGCTAATGAAAGCAATGACATCTTTTTTTTTTAAGTTGAGGTTTCCGTAAGTTTTAGGCAAGGTCAGGGATGAGTTTCCCGAGGATGAGATCCCGAGGATCTCAAAAGAGCATACATTAGCCGGCCGTGTAACCCCTTTAAATCACAGCACTCAGGGAGGCAGAGGCAGGCGGATCTCTGTGAGTTCCTGGCCAACCTGGTCTACAAAGCAAACCCAGGAGCGCTAAGGCTATACAGAGAAAGCCTGTCTCAGAGGAAAACACACACACACACACATCCTAGCTGGTAGATTAGTTCATGCTTATGTCTGATCCTCACACAGGCATGTGGAATAATGAAGTCCTTTAGTTACTTAGGCTTTTGTTTCCAAATACTTGCTCTTGAGGCAACAGACTGTCTACGTAGTTAGCCGGTCTTGACTGAGTACGGGGAAACAATTTCACTTTAGGTGTTCTGATGATCTTTCAGTTGTGGGAAGGCCTGTATTCATCTAGTTTGGGCTATTCCACTGACAAGCCTGCAGTCTGGTGAAAATCCTTGTGTTAATTCATTTATGTATCTTCAGTTGTTGCTAGTTTTTCTTACCATGTTATTTAAACTTAATCGCTTTCTCCAGAGAACCACTAGAGTTGGAATATGTCCCCTTGGCTTGGAACAAAGTGAGAACAACTCATTTCGTCCGATACATGCTGTGTAACATTTCACCTTAGATGATACTCACTTTAATGCAATAGTAATAATATCCAAAAAGTGAAAGGAATGAATAAAACTGTTTTAGAATCGTGTGCTGTATTTGCTCTGTTGTTCCTGGAAGTGACGCCCCCCCATCTCATTACCCCTAAGGAAATGCCAGCTACTGTTGGAGAAATAATATATGCAGGTATTTTTTTTTAATTACAACAGAGGAAGTGTGATTGTTAAAAGTTCATCTCTATTTCATTAATTTTCCTAATCTTTACTAAAGAGAGTTATGTAAAGACCTTCCGTGTCCCTAGATTAGTAGAATTAGTATTGTGAAAATGGCTGTACTACTGAAATTAATCTACAGATTTAACACAACATGAGTTTTTTATGTCATAGTTCAAGAGTTTATTAGAAATACAAGAATTCATTAAGAACCACACACACAGACACACAAAACAAAAAAGCATGAATAGCCAAAGCAATCCTAAGAATTATAACACCTGGCCTCAAATAATACTATAGCGCTATAGTAATAAAGACAGCCTGGTACTGGTGTAAAACAGGTAGTCTAATGGAATAGAGGACCTGGAAATAAAATGGCAAAGAAATGCTCACTTTTCCATTTCCTACCTTTCATGTGGGTAGGCCTATATGGAAATAACTTTCTGCACAATAAAGGAAACTCGGAGCAAACAGCAGGCAGAATGCAAAAAAATCTACCAGCTACACTTCAGACAAGCAACTAATACAAAGAATTAAAGAAATTAACCAAGGAAATAAAACTGCCAATCAACAGTTCAGCAAATTAATTGACTGGACAGTTATCAAGAAAAAAAAAAAACAACAAATGGCCAATAACTATTTTTGAAAGTGTTCAACATCAGAGAAAAGCCAATTAACATTACTTTGAGATTACTTCCTCACCCCAGTCAATATCTATCAAGAAATCTGACAAATATTGGGGAAGAGAGGAGTCTTTACTCACTGCTGGTGCAGTGTGAATTGCGAATTAATACAGCCATAATGGAAATTAGTTTGCATTCTTCAAAAAATTAAAATGTAACCATATGACCCCACAATTTTACGCTTGGAAATGCACCTAGGGACCATCCGTACCCTACCAACAGAGACATTTGCACCCACATGCTTATTGCTGCTTTATTCGCTATAGCAAGGAAATGGAGTTGTTTATCAACAGATGAATGGAAAATGAAAATCTGGTACTTATATAGAATGGAATAGTATTCAGCTCTAAAGAAAATGAAATAAAATTTTGCAAGAAAACGGATAGGCTTAGAATATACAATATTAAGCAAAGTCACACAATCTCGGAGGAAAAAAAAAACAAAAACCAACTGTGTTCTCCCTCATGTGGATCCTACTATAACACATAGAAAGGAAAACAAGAAAGGAATAGTAGGTGGCGAAGAAAGAATAAATGAAAATAATGTGCATGTAAGTCATGAAGGAGGATATAAAACTAATTGTTTTTCTGTTGACTCTGCTGGTTGAGGTGGTAGTTGTCACTGAGTCTGGCTAAGCATTCTGAGCTGGGCAGCGTTAAAGGCAGAGCTCCCTCTTCCCAAGCAGGGCCTCTTCCTCCCTGCCTCACTTCATCTGGAGAGGGTCTTTAGACACAGACACCCCTAACCACATTTATCTATGACCTCTGACACAGCTCCGGGCCAGCTTTCCCCTCCCAGCGCCTATATAATTAGGTGCTGTGCTTCCATCCATATGATAAGAGGGTGCCGTGTAATGCAAATCAAGCATCCTTGAAGTGCCTCGGTCCAACCAATTCCGTACACCTATTTTGGATCCCACCCCTCCTCCCCGACTCCCTAAGGAGTATATAACCTTTGTTCTCTGGAATTGAAGTTGGATTAGCGACCAGCTAGTGCCCAGGGTGTGTGATCACTGTGAGGTGCTTCTTGGCCATTCCAGGCACGTTTCTTGTCTACATGCCCCTCCTGACTTCATGGGCTACTGAGAGACAGACCTGAGACAGGAGGAGACCAACATAACTCTATCATACATTTTTCATTTTTCGAGACATGTAAATACAGAAAAATGTATTTAAAAGTATAAAATCCAATATTTTGAAATTCTATAACTTCATAATGGCTATTTTAACTATATAGAAGTTCTTTGGGATGTATAGATTTTGGATCTGGTTAATTTCACTGTTTTTTTTTTAATTTTTTTGCAGGTTCTTCATATTAAAGTTTTAATAATAAATAAATAAATGATTGTTGAGATCAGTGGAGTAAAGCAGAGTTTATGTGAACGAAGCAAAACATGACTTGTCATCCAGCACGAAAGAGGCAGAGGTGGCAGGAACACAGTTTCAGGCAGGCCCAGGCTCCAGGAGATCTCTCAGCCTGTCACAAAACAAGAAACACCTGTAATCTCGGCACTGGGGATTACAGACAAAAGAGTCAGAAATTCAAGGCCAGCTTTGGTCTGAGATTCTGTCTCAATACCCCAACACACACACACACACTCACACACACTCACACACTCATGCATGCACGCAGCAACAGCAACAACATTGACAAAAATTTAACACCATTGTTTGAAAATTGAGTTGCTTCCAAAACCAAAGCAGGTTCTGGGAACTCCAGAATACTGTAGTCAAATGATCTTTACAGAATAACGAAGGAGTAATCTAATTAGCTACAGTTTAGTTCTTTAAATAATCTGTTGATTGTCATTTAATTGGCTACAAGGCTTCTATCAGGCAACTGAGGGTGGGTAACTGTGAATAAAGTCTACACTGGTTTGATCTGATGGGCTCAGTATGGGCACCCAGTTCAGATGCAAAGCTCCTGCAAATTTAATCCTGTACTGGAATGTGTTAGTGCCAGAACATCACACTTTAGCCTGTCTACATTTCAGAGGTTTTGAGGAGAGCTTTGTAATTTGACAAAAGTTCTCTGCTCCAACCAGGAATCAAAGAATATGGTTGGCTCTAGGATGTAAATCATTAAGTGTAGGTGCTATACTGATTTTACAAAAGACAAAACAAACAAACAAAACCCTTAGAAAGTAGTGAAACCAAAATCTGAGCTCAGAAGACTAAAGGAGTATGTTTGCCAAAAGTTAAATGGTAGGTTGGAGGGCACATTGATAAATGTGGAAGGTATTTACTTCCTTAAAATTATATGAAAATCTGTAGATCTAAATTTTTGGAGAATATTAACAAAATTTAATTGATCTTTTAGTGGAATTTACTGATTCAATGAAGTAAAATTGGATTTTACACTTTTAAATATATTTGTATGCATTAACATGCCATTAAAAAATAATAAAATAAAATCCCACATTAAAATATGCTAATTTGGTCTTGGGTTATAAACGCCCAAACACACCCAGGAAAATAACATTGCAAGGCCACACAACTAAGCAGCAGCCAGTTATTGCAATTACCACTCTTGTGTCTTAAACACTCTTGACCTTGAACTTTCTCATTCACAGAGAACAAAGCTTCAGCTTTCCATTTCTTTCCCAGCCAGTTCAGCACCATTTTAACTGGCTCAGGTTGCAGGACTCATTCTCTGAAACAAACCACTGGGGGGATCATACACCTATTCAATTAGATTCAAACAGGACATACTTTTCCTAAGACCTCCTGTTTTCTCAAAACAGGCTGCAAAAGGCCACTTAATCACAGTGTGAAAACTGAAGCTGCCAAGGAGCAAACCAACTGTTGAGAGGTCAATAACACACGAGGAGGATTTTTATTGTGTTTTAAAATGATTGATTGCAAAGCTCTTTGCACCTGAGCCTTGCCTTCATTCATTAATCCATCCAGCAAATATTTATGAAGACCTGGCGTTGTTTGATTTGCAAAGAGAGAGAGAAACAA